CGGGGCTGGCTGTCTACACTAGGGCTACCTGGGTCTGGCCAAGCAAGGCAGGCTGACTGTCTGCAGCCGCAACGGCTGCGTGGGAAGCGGTCGTGGTGTGTGATGTGACCCCGAACCCCCCCTAATATTAAAACCGGGAAGGTATTATATATATATACACATACATATACATACATACTTACACTGTATATGTATGTACACATAAACTTACACATGTATACACATACACATACATACGTACATACATACATACATACATACATACATACATACATACATACATGCATACATACATATATATATATATATATATTTATATGTATATGTATATATACACGCACACACACATACTTTGTACATATATGATTAATTTCACAGTGTTTATGCGCAGGGGATGTGCAGGGGATGTGCAAGTGTATGCGTATTGGTGCAAGTATATGTATATGCATAACATACACATTCATATATATATATATACACACACATGTGCGTATATGTATATGTAGATGCACGTGTTAAAGTAGATACAGATGTGAATGTTGATGTATATTTGCATACTTGAGCTTTACTTTAACTTTTTGTCGAGGTTGCAATCTCATGCCAACACTGCACCGTGTCCGGTATTTACACAGCACGACACGAGCAAGGACTGCAATGACAAAGTGCTAGAACACTGGCACGGTTCTGTACTTGTGATGTGCTTCATCTTCCGGAAGAGTAGTGGTCACTTAAGGCTATGGCTATGGCTGTTTGGACATCCTGGTTGCTCTGCGACGAAGACCTGGCTTCAGCAGGATAGCAAGCAAAGGTTCATCGGACGTACAGATCATCGCTTGCTGCCTGCACAGTTCGCATCCTGCACAGTTCGTAGCTTGGCCGCACCAGGCCGTTGAAAAGCATTCTGCTCAACTTACTATGTTTTGATTGCGGAATGCTCAATGTCAGATTAGCTGATGTTGTGAGCGACGAATTCAAGTTGCCAACGCGGAGTCATTGCAAAAGGTCCTCATCTTGCGGTTCGTCTGCAAAGACGGGCAGTAGCCAGGGTAAAGTTTAGCGGCTTCGCGTTGAAGGGTTCTGGTTTCGGCGTATATAGGTGGAGTGATTACGTTGCAGTGCTGGTGTTGCCTGAATGCAGGGTTTTCGTAGGCCGCTCTGTGTGTGTGTGTGTGTGTGTTTGGGGAAGATTGGGAATTTCGGTGGTCGTCTGACTGGTCTACCACCCCTAGGCACTCTCTTTGCCAGGGTTTAGGGTCTGGGTTTAAGGCCCCTTACAGAAAGTATACGATAAAGGAGTCCAAAAGCCCATCTCCAGTCTCACTGGGCCAAACCGCGTGCGCTCTTCCTGAGCCAAGGCTCGACGGTTGACGGAGAAGAAGACGCGAGCAGACGAGCGGTTCGCCATGGGTGAGAAGGCTTCGGTTTAATTTAGGGTTTAGGGTTTAGGGATTGTGCTTAAAATTCTGAGTAAGCCCTTAAAACCCGAAACCCTCAAATCCCAAATCCTAGGGCCTCGAGTTTCAAGGTGTACATGTAAACGTTCATCGAAGTCCAAAGACCCGAAACCATACCTGTAGCCCAGAGGGCCGACTTCGTTGAGGCTCGCGGCAATTTACAATTCGTTGTTTAGGGTTTAGGGGTTTGGGGTTTAGGGTTTAGGGTTTCGGGGTTTAGGGTTTAGGGTTTAGGTTTTAGGGGTTTAGGTTCAGGGTTTAGTTTTGTTTTGTTTATCGGCCGCTGGGGCATTTAAACTGTAAATGTTCTCGGCTTTAATGGGGCGGGCATTTTACATGTTTGTTTCCTTTAAAACGTATGTGTATACAAGCAGACATGTCTACATACCTACCTACCTACCTACCTACCTACCTACCTACCTGCCTACCGACCGACCGACCGACCGACCGACCTACCTACCTACCTACCTACCT